TATAGGTTTAAGTGTAGACGTTATCAAAGCATTGTTGTCCGCCAAACCCTGTTTTAAAGCGTTATATTTCTGTTTAATATTTTCTCTAGCTCGTATGAGTTCGGGGAGTACAAGCTTTGCATCGTCCATTGTGTCATGATAAGCGTTTCAATACGAATGCTGTGAAATCGACTCTCCATATCTTTTATATAATCACAAAGCAATCGAAACCACAGCGATATCGTCCTTCGTCTCTATTATCTTCTTTGCTGATCACCACAAAACCGAATTTTTCTCTATTCCAACAAGTCATGCAAAACTCCTTGAAACTCGCAAAGCTCATATCACCTGAACAATGATCATTGTACACATGCTTTAAGTTCAACTCGTCTTGTTTAAAGAGTATTATAAAATTTGAATTATCCCTGATCAAAAGTTTCGGGATTCTTGAGTAAGATTGTCCGAGATAAAAACAGTCTATATTGTTATGCCGCCCGCGAGAAAAAAACGATCTAACGATGTTTTGATTTTCACAAATTATATCATCAAACACCAGAATACTATTTTTGAGAACCTTTTCAGGAGTTACGACTTGCTCATTTTCATAAAAAGTAAACAAGCGCACCCCGGGTAGATTGTTTAAAATTCGTTTCAAAAGTATGTACTTTGGTTGATCAAGCGTCTTCGAGTAGATGTATACGTTTTCAAACTTAAGCCCGTTGAGATCCGTGAGCAAAGCATAGATTAGATTCGTTTTTCCACAGCCAGATGATCCGACTACCAAAGATCTTATTGTAGACGGGAATAATACACTATGTCGCAATCTCTTAGTTTCACACGACCCCGGTTGATCTGCATTGTGCACAGGAAGTTTCTGTTCTTGCTCTACAAATTTCATAGCTATATTATAGAACTGTCTCAAAATAAAACCGCATACGATGACGTCTAGTCGTACAGTGAAGTTCACCAGGGGTAGTGGTCTGTTAAATTCTGTTATAAATAACCTTCCGTTTGAACTACATTTACCCGGTTATAGGTAAGCTGTTTTAATAATAATAATAATAATACAATTATATGATATTAATCGTTCATTGCTGTTAGATATTGCGGACCCGGTACCAGACTAAAAAAACGTTTAAATCGTGGCGACAAGGGTATTAATTCTCTAGACGAAGCGTGTAAAACGCATGATATAGCATACAGCAAGAGTAACGACTTATTAGTTAGACACGCAGCAGACAAAGTTTTGGGGGAACGAGCGTGGGACACGTTTAAATCAAAGGACGCAGGTTTTGGAGAGAAAGCCGCTGCCTTAACGGTCGCAGGTGCTATGAAAGTAAAGAGAAAAATTGGTGCAGGTTGTGCCTTTAAAGCTGCTGTAAGAGCAGCCAAAATTGCCTTAGCGAAATCAAAAGTCGGAGGCGATCTAAATTCGTTGTCGAAAACAGCTTTGGTGGCGGCAAAAAATGTATCAACCAATCATAAAACTCTAAAAATTGGAGTTAAGAAGACAAACAAGAGGAAGAAAAGAAAAACTAAGAAAAAAAATGTTAAGAAGAAGAAAAAAGTTAACAAAAAGAAAACATCACCTACGATGTTGAGTAAAGTACCAAGGTTAATACCAATACCTAAAGCTGGAGGAGCTTTACCATTATTACCGATTTTAGCAGCTTTAAGCGCTTTTGGAGCTTTAACAGGAGGAGTATCGAATGTGATAAAGACAGCACACGAGTTAACATCAAATAAAAATGCAATTGTACCCATCGGAAAAGGTATGTTCCTAAAACCTTTCAGTGGAGGAAAGTATAAAATAGAAAACGGCAAGTACAAACGACGGTTGAGTGATAGTGGGTATAATATCAAAAAGAAAAAGAAGACTTCAAAAAACTAGACATGAAGCTGCCCAGTGATGCAATGTACGACTTTGAAATCATTAAATATGCAAACGCGTTAAAAATACCTCACTTCAGAGGCGTATATTGCAAGAATCAGTTGCCTGCACGACCTAAACGATTAGAGTCGCTCGTCATTAATCTAGCTGACGATAATCATCCGGTAGGTAGCCACTGGGTTTGCTTCAAGAAAATCAAAAAGAGGGTTTACTATTACGACAGTTATGGCAATTTGAGACCTCCGATTGAAGTTGAGAAATATTTGAACGGATGTGATATAACGTACAATTACGATAACCATCAAAAATATAATACGACAAACTGTGGTAAACTTTGTTTAGAGTTTCTCTCACGTCACCAATCTTCTTCTCGAACCGAGTGATGTCTTCGATTTCAATGAGCGGTAATTCTACAGAGTTGGAGTGTAGTTTTTTTCCTCCAATACAGACGCGGGCAAATAGTGAGATTTGTCTTTTGAGCTTGCAGACCAACAATGCGATTCCAAATATTTATGAAGGGTGTAATAAAATAGGAGTAAAGCAAGTCATAGGTGGTGTTGACAAGACTGATACAATTACTATACCTAAGGGATCTTACGAATTGTCGAGTTTGGAATCATATTTGAAAATTACACTCTCAAAATTAGGTGTTAAGACTTTTGAGCTGAAAGGTGATAATGCTACCTTAAAATGTGAGATGTTTTGCGATCAGGATATTGATTTTACATTGCCTGATAGTGTAGCCAGTTTATTAGGGTTTACTAATGCAGTATACAACCATGACGTTGTACATAAATCAGAAAACCCGATTAAAATATCACGAGTCAACTGTATAAAAGTCGACTGTAATTTGATATCAGGATCATTTGACAACGGATCACCCGGACACACGTTACACGAATTTATCCCCAATGTTCCCCCGGGATTCCAGATTAACGAAGTACCAAAGCACCCCGTTTATTATCCGCTAAATAGTACTTATATTAACCACGTGAGAATAACTCTTAAGGATCAAAACGGACGTCTTATCGATTTAAGAGGAGAAACTCTATCGATTCGTTTGCATATTAAACAACGTTATGGGTCTTAAATTCGGCAATATAAAAAGAAAGGTCATCAGCTATAGACCGCTCAGTGAGTCAAAGGGGCTTGATACACCAACGTCTGGTAAACATCGTCTTCGTCAACAACGAACGAGGAAAAAACATAAAAAGTTAAGCTCACTGAAGAAGAAAAAGAATAATAATAATAATAAGAAGAAGAAAAACAAGAATCTATCAACAAAAAATCTCTCCTTTTTAAAATCTCTAAACGTATTGTGAAAAAATGGACGGGTCTTATTTGGACGTTAAGGAGAAATTCGTTAACGAAACACCCATAGAGGATATGCATTACAGATCATACTTACCGTTTTCCAGCAGCGCTATGTCACGTGGAGATCAAATACGTATTGCTGTGCAAAATACAGACGCGTATACGTTGTTCTGTGAAAGTTACCTTTACATCGAGGGGAAAATAACCAGAGCCACGGGTGCAACGGGAAACTGAGTATTGCACATAACGGATTGGCGTTCTTGTTCGATGAAATTTCATATGAGGTTAATGGAGTTGAAGTTCAAAAGGTAAAAGACCCTGGAACGACTAGTCTAATAAAGGGGTACTGCTCGTATTCCCTAAACGATGTAAATAATTTACAAAATGCCTACTGGTCACCAAATGACGATGATCCTTCTATTACATATCATGCGGATGATTTTAAGTTCTCTGGAAGTATACCACTATCTCATTTGTTCGGGTTTGCCGAGGACTATAGGAAAATAATGATCAACGTAAGTCAACAGCTCGTGTTGAACAGATCACTGAAAGACGTGAACGTGTTACGCGGTACGTTGGAAACGGGTGTTACGTGGGCTGATGAGAGTTCCAAGAAACTCATGAAATCAACTGTTGAGCTAACAAAAATTGCATGGAAATTACCGGTCGTGCGAGTCAATGACCGGGAAAAATTAAAACTATTAAAAATCGTTGAATCTCACAAATCGTTACACTGTGCATTCAGAAATTGGGATCTATGTGTTTATCCTCAACTTCCTGAAACGACTAAGCATTCCTGGATGGTTAAAACCACCAACAGTGTAGAACGTCCACGTTATATATTACTCGCTTTTCACACCGCTGATAATGCTGGACTGTCAGGGAAACGTACTGAAAAATTCGATTCATGCTCCATCACCAATCTCAAAGTGCATTTAAACTCAGCTGAATACCCATACGAGAATGGTAATGAGGACTTTAGTAGAGGATTAGTCACACAGTTTTATCAAAACTATGTCAATTTTCAAAAAAATTACTATGAGAAAAAACGATCTCGTCCATTGCTCAACCGGGATGAGTTTGTAAAATATGGTCCGGTTTTTTGCATTGATTGTACACGGCAAAAAGATGATATTCAATCTTCTACAATTGACTTAAGAATTGAATTTGAATCATCTGCAAACATCGCAGCAGGGACCAGTGCTTATTGTCTAATTATCCATGACCGTATTATACAATATAACCCATTCAGCGGCGACGTTCGAAAATTATAATCACATATATATATATATATATTTAACTAGCTTTAAAATACACAGTGTATGGTTTACTCTTTTAATTTTATTTGTATAATGTAATTATTTAAATTTTAAATATATATATATATATATATACATATATCACTTTTTTTTTTTTACAAATTGTATGAGATTAATATTATATTTTCTTTCATTACATGTAAGCATTTTTATGAGTAGTTAACTAATTTTATTTTCCTTTTTTTTTTTTCTACAAACAAACATACATTAAGAAATTATATATTCTATATTTTTACTATTTACAATTTATGTACATTTATTTTTCTATTTTATTTAAAATTGACTAGAAAATATACACAATAAACTAATTAAATTTTCCTTTTTTTTTTTTTCTACAAACAAACATACATTAAGAAATTATATATTCTATATTTTTACTATTTACAATTTATGTACATTTATTTTTTTATTTTATTTAAAATTGACTAGAAAATATACACAATAAACTAATTAAATTATTATTTATTTTTTTTGTTTTTTCTCATGGCTTATTCCTCTTAATTAGCTATGTCCTCCTCCTCCTCCTCCTCCTCCTCCTCCTCATTATCAGGTTGCATATGATTTTGTTGAAGTTGTTGCTGTTGTTGAAGTTCACTAGAAAAATACAATACATCGGGTTAATATTTGTGTAGTTAAAACTAAAATATTATTTTAACTCACATTAACTTGTAATGACCGATTGCCAATGTATGTATGCGGTCTGGTAGAATGACTCGCTTATCATCATGCCAGTTTAGCGTAATCTTCATGTTTTTAATCGTTTTAATTTCGTGCTTATATGATCGAATTGAAATGTTCTCCCTATATGGAGTATATGATGTATAATTTATTTTCTTAACGGTTGAGTCGATTGCCCTCAAGTGAATGTTTGCGGTCACCGCTTTTCCATTTGTCACCGCTAGAGCTTTGCCATCAGCGACAGATGATTCAGCGACGGCGAACAGACAGCTTTTGAAATCTGAGACGGTTAAATGATTTTTTACTACATGCCCTCTAATCCCCTTGGCTCTAATTTTTTCCGAGGACACTGATGTTACTAAAGTCTCTTTCTCGAAAGCATACGACTTTGGTCTAAGGCTGATAAATTCATAAACCGTAAGACCGTTCGTCTCATCAGAAAAAAGCCCTGGGATTTTCTTTTTTGCTACAGAGTATGCAGGGTGATCAGAGGGTAGATTTGAAGTATCAAACCATTTTAACATCTCAGGATGTGCGGTCACCTCAGCGTAGAAATCTTTAGTTTTCACCAAGTAAACAAGAGAATCTAAAATTAATAATTAAATATTATTTACATACATACATAATGGTAAACTTCATTCATCTCTCTCTCTTTCTCTCTTTCTATGTTTTTTTTTTTTTATTACCTGTGTCTCCATACATAATTTCAACACGGTCCTTAAAATGTCGTTTCATCACATTATAATGAAAGTCATACATGAGGGTTTTACTTATCTCCAACACACAGAACCCAACATAAATTGGCTTACAAAAGTCAATTATTTTGTTTTCCAGTGTGAATGCAGATAAGTTCTCACTATATGTCGTGCAGTATTTAAAATTGTGTTTTTTTATTAGTTTGCTCGCACGTTTCGGAGTATTTACGAGTTCTATATTCGTCCTCAACCGCATACGCTCCATCATTTTACCTTGAAAATAAAGAGAAAACATAAAAAATATGTATGAACTTTATTATTATTATTATTTATTTATTAATTTTTTTTTTTTTTTTTTTTTCATGTTATTTACCAAACACAGAGTTATTCATAAGCTTGAAAAAATCTTTTTCGAAGTCGTTTGCCGCCCCCTGTCGCAATTTTGTATTAAGCTCTATATACACGGATAACCACGCAGACTGCTGGAATTCTAAGACCCTATGCACCTTTAAAATATAATTTTTTAAACATTTAGTTTTGTATTTGTTTATATTATACAATTGTATTATTTTACCTTTTCTACCCGAAGCCCATTAGCAATCGCCTGTTTCAAGTTTAAATAATGTACTACATAATTTTCTTTCTTTTCAAAAGTTGTTAACAACTTTTTCACTCTTGAATTGGGCGGGCATTTAGTTTCTGGCAAAAATGGAAGCTCGTTATGTGCATCGTGGAGGCTCTCCGGGTATGAGATGTCAACCTCAAAAACTAGTCCTGTTGAGGAATGCTCATCCATACCATCTAGTCTTTGAAGAGTCTCATTAGGATCTTCTGTCACCCATTTAAAGCCTCCAAATGGCATGAATTGAGATAAAGCCCACCCATACAAGTTGTTAACATCTTGGTACATTATCCATGTGTCTGGGAGCTTCGGGTCGTAATTAGGTGCTTTCGGGTTATTAGCTTTCGCATATTTTAATGTCGACTGGGTTAATCCACCACGGATACCACGTTCAAACATAAGGTTCATCTCATAATCACTGAGTAATTCCAACGAGACACCTGTGCAGAGTAGCATGGCATCGAAGCTCAGACCTGGGCTTGTAAAGTAGTGAGCGGCATCTAAGTTGTATGTACGCATACAAAGGTTCCTAAACGCTTCGAATACATCGCAGAGCATTAGGGTGTCTATTTTTAAGTATACATCCGAATACTCGCCCAGTGTTTGACAACGAAACTGCTTCCATACTTTTAATGCATGATCATAGTCTTCTTGACTGATGTGGGATTCGCTGAGATCATTAAAGAACTCTTTTTTGTCCGGGAGTTTCCTTTCTTCCAACTTATCCCAATCAGAAGTATAAGAGTATGGATAAACGCCTTTTCGTGTCACCAAATTAATATCGAAGCCAGCAAACTCTTTTGCCGTCTCATGGAACAACCCTATGTTTGATGTGCGCAAATTATCCGAAAGGGAGGCTAAACTTGCGGCCATAAAACGGAAAGTATCGACAAAACGGACGGAGAAAGTGTTCGTAACGAACTTTGAGAACGAAATATACTTCTCCTCCGTGTTTGGTATCACCGTTATCCGTTTGCTGTCATTTCCTAATTGCCGGATGATATAATGAGCGTCATAACCGCTCATGTTATGCATAAAACACGGTACATACTTTGTTGTCACGAGCTTTAAGTTGCATTTATTGCATAGGGTCCGTCTAAATTTCCCTGTCAGATGGTCGTGGTCGGCTGTTTTGAGGTTGTTCTCTGAATACTGCGTCTTGCAAAACTCACATGCTGTGTTCGCAGTATGAGCAGCAACCTCTTGTTCACTCATTATTAAAGGCACATTAGTATTTTTTAAAAGCTCGCTAATTTTCATTGCCTCCTCGCTTATGTCAGCCACAAATCGTTTCGCCACTTCGTCGGGTTCCGATAACCTGCTGCCTCTGTGCAAAACTATTGACCTCCGAATGTTGTACATATCCAACAGTTCTTGAGGTACCTCATCTGATACTTTAACGATGAACGCATAGCTCATTGCGACATGTTCATGAAGTACCTCTGTGTTGGCGCCTATAGTTTTGTCGGACTTCACCAGCAAGCTCTCAAAATCGGCATAAATTGCAAACGGAACTTTTTGGGTTTTTTGCCATGCTTCGAATTTCAACTTTGTACCCTCCTCTGGCATTATTGGTAATACAGGCTTGTACTCACCACAGATTTTCTTATGCTGTAGGAGTGCTTCTCGCCCGTGCGGCTTGTGTAATTTGGGTATAAAGTTGAAACCTGTAAAGCACCGTTTGCAATAAATCATTTTAGACGTGTTTTTGGTCTGCTGGCACTGAACCAAACGAGCGAAATTGGTTATGTGCGTATAGTGGCTGACTTGTGCTTTGTTAGTAATAAGCAGAAGGTCGTGGTGGTCCTCTTTCTCATCATCAACTACCCGCAACGGGAATACTACGTGTTTTATTTCTCCTCCAGCTTCTTTTTTTTCCTTTAATCCGAACACATTCACCGAGGTAGAAGGATTATTTTTTTCAAATAATCTGATATCTTTAAGCGGAGTAGGGTAGGTTATACCAGAGAAGTCGTATAGTCCATCTACTCGTGCATAATTGGCTTCTATACGATCTCTGTGTACCCCTGTAACCCTTTTTGCCAGTATCGCCCATTGGAAACATTTCTCATCGATATTTTGTGGGTTAACTATTGCCCACCTGTTTCGAATATCTGCTGGCAGGGTTATATATGATGAACCCCCTAGCGGAGTATATTTGTATACCCCTAGAAGGAGTCCATCGATGTTTAACAGGGAAAAACCACTACCCCGCCCCGTGTACTCTTCTTCCTCGGTGAGTAATGTTCGAAATGCATTGTCAATTTCGTCCTCAATATTTGTGTCCTGGAATATCTCCTTTGCTCCAGTTTTAAACGACCTATTTTCTTCACTATTCTCCTGGTGTGGAATATTATAGGTCGCCTCCAACTTCAGATTGAATTTAATAGGAGATTCCAGAACACAATTCCTGAGCGTTGAGGCCAACTCATCCCTAATCAAATTTAAAAACATATGGTATCCGACCATTTGTTCTACGTTTTTTCTATAAAACCACCGAATGTTGCTTTTAAGGGATGAGCCCGTCTCCACAAACCCAACCTCTGATATGCTCCTTAACCGTGATATTTTCATACGCTTGCTTTTTTTAGAATTATCGTTATTGCTACTACTAGTAGAGGCATTAATAGTAGTAATAGGTCTTTTGTTTGCTGACGAAGACGGTCCTGCAGCACTAACTAAAAATAATATATACCTTTAAATATAAATTTAAATATACACGGTTTAAAAAAAAAAAAAAAAAAAATTTAAAAATTTAAAAAATGTACCATTCATTGCCTGAGGAATGTTATGAACGCCTACGCCGACTAAAGATCCTATTGCCTCATTATAGTCAATACCATACTTGACTAGGTCTAGTTTAAAAATATCGAAAACAATATTTATTTAATATAGCACTTAGTAATTTAAATGAAAAAGTAAAGAAATACATAGAATATTAAACTGTCGGTACTTACGGTGTATTTTCTGTACATGGTTGGATAAATCATCTGTTCTAATAAACGACGCTAAGCATAACCGGCACGTATGTCTTATACCGTAATGTACTGCTTTCTTGTGTCGCACTACATTTTTAACCGACGTATACACTTTTTCACATTGATCGCACGAGAACATAATTGTTTTATTTTATAAACTACACGATATAATAAGTATATATAATATATATATAGATGAAGCAGAAGAAAAACTTGTTTAAAGATTGAAGGCAGATAGAAGACTGAACGTGTAACAGTTTACTTCTTCGCTGCTGGTAGTATCTGTTTTTATAACAAGAGTGTCATAAAAATGTTTAATTTTATGTGATCGGTGGGGGTAAAATATAAGAGGACTTTTTGGTAAACAAAAATATGAACTTATTACGCTCGCAGCACCTGTTTACTGGATATTAAAAAAAAAATATGTTAACGCGGCTGTATACACACACGCTTGCACCTGTTTACTGTAGTAAGTAAGGATTAAATTGCATGTGTTAGGATAAGAAAAAAAAGAAAAAGAGAAGAGTTTGCTTCTCACGATGCCCACCCCCAACCCTCTCAGTGAATGTGTATAAAAACAAAAACATCTGCTTTTTAAGCTCGCTGCACCTGTTGTTTTCTACTATATAATTACTGAAGAAGATGAAAAAGATGACGGAGCTGTGAAAAAAACTTTTTCAGAGATCGAAGGCGAACAAAGGACTGATCGTGTAGTAGGCTACTTCTAAGCTGATGCTGTTAGTAACATTAAAAAAAAAAAAAAACAGAAATGCTTGTTTTATAACAAGAATGTCATAAAAAAAAAAATGATCAATTATTAAAAAAAACTATGTTATCGCGGCTGTATACACACACGCTTGCACCTGTTTACTGTAGTAAGTATGGGTTAAATTGCATGTGTTAGGATAAGAAAAAAAAAAAAGAGAAGAGTTTGCTTCTCACGATGCTCGCCCCCAACCCTCTCGGTGAATGTGTATAAAAACAAAAACATCTGCTTTTTAAGCTCGCTGCACCTGTTTACTGTATAGTAAAATATAATATCACAGACGTGTCTACACCTGTCGAGGACATCTGGATGCGGTGGTGGTGGCGGCGGACAACACTTGGAGGGGCGGACTTACTAAGCAGAGGGGGGATAAGACGGGGTCAAGGGGACTGGGGGGGGGGGAGAGGGGGCTTAACTACAGCAGGGCGTGGACAGGACGCGGGGTACAACTATGGACGGGGGTTGCACCGGTTCTTACGGGGGGTGGAACACTATAGACGGGGATGGGAGGGGTGGGGGGGACTACTATAGACAGGGGTGGGGGGGGAGACCTATGGGTGGGTAACCGGATCCCCGGATCCGCGGGGCCCCAGCTCAGACAAAATATATCTACTCATAACCAAATGCTTTAGCAAACGATGTCCAGCTTTTTCCCATTAAAAATTTTGTCATAAAACAAGCTCTTTTCGTCGTATACACTTCAGCATTATTTATCCATCCTCCGATTGATCCTTTTACAGCCATGTTAACATTCAACTGCGATAACGAATACAATGAAAAACTAACTCACACGGAACACAACGTGATTCTGATATTTTATATTAATTTATTATGAACAGTATGCATTCATGTGTGCTATAAAATATAAACATGCTACTTTTTAACTAACAATATACATTGTAGGTATGTAGTATACTAGTTGCATACCTAAAAATGCTAGTTTTTAGTCGATTTTAGGACACAGATATTCCATATAATATATTTAGCTTGTTTAATTACATATTAATATCGTATCAATTTACTAACGGTTATTGAATCGTCGAATGGAATCAAGAATGTGCTGTTGCCTTTTAATTCCAACACAGTCGGTGACCTCCTGCTCAAATATATATTGTACTTCAGCAAATGTGTCACCGTAGGTTCACAAGACGAATATTGCTTAATCTTCATGCGGAACTCTCCCTGCAAAAAAAAAAAAAAATTAAACCAACAATACCGGTAGAAGTTTTTTGTTTTTAAACTTTTTGTTGCTGTATTATGACGTTTAATATTACCGCAGGTAGATTTGGAAGAAACTTTGGCGTAAATCCCGTAGAGGCCGTTTGGCAAATAATAACAAAAATAACAGAGAAACGGATCAAGTACATGGCTGGTTAATCGAATTATAAATTAATAAATAAAATAAAAATGTTTACATAAATATAAGAAATTAAAAAGAAAGACGATATTTTCTAGAACAAGATAATTTATGCAACGCATGCTCCAATGAAAATGTCATTTATTATTTTTACCGGGTTTATTATTATCATTAAAAAAAAAATAGTTCATATATCAGATTCTGGCACTATAGAATATTGTTATTGCTTCCCATAAGTATTAATTAGCGTGATCTATCTTATTCATGACAAATCTAATAACGCCGACCATTGCCAAAAAAATGTTTGAAAAAAGCGACCTTCTCCATTGTACCATTGTTGACTATTAAATAACACTTATTATGTACACTGTAATTGTGCGGTAAAAAATCATCTAATTATATGCATTAGGCTGTAGGTAACCGATAATTGTACTTGCCGGTATACCGTCCAATGATTTTCGTTCGGTCATCACATTTTCTAGCGATGATGCAAAAAATACCTTCTTTTTTCGGAGCCGTATTTTACTTTAAAAAATAAACATTGATTCGTCAAGTTAAAAACAGAATAATTATCTGATTTGTCAGCTATGTAAAAACAACTGTCTCGTTCGAGAATGTTACGGACGATTCTGCATCGATCAAAGCCAGAAAAACAAAATATGTTTTAAATAGACTATTATTTGTATTTTATTTTATTATTATTATTATTATCCAATAAAAACATATATTATAGTTGTCCATATAGTCCACTTTAACTTGAACGGTCTGTTTTCAAGAAGTTTTTCGTAGATAATTTTAAATAAAATGTTTCAATAAATTTCAACCAATTAATTTGCCGGTTATTTTGTATAAGCAACAAGATACTATAATTAATTTAAACCCAATCTTCTATGAGTAAAAGCCATTTTGGTTTATCTTAGACCAAAAAGTTCGGCAAAATGTCGACTACATAACATTGTCCAATTTCAATTCTGCAAAGATATTCTGGTGCTTATTGCTATGTTATGAAGGAAGCCGATTTTCATTTAAAAATTGCCGTTTCCTGTAATTTGACAAATGCAATTTTTTCGATATTAAAACGCGGTTCTTTTGCATAAAAAAATCAAAAATTTGTTTTCTATATTACCTAGTAAAGTTGCCAAAGAATTTAAGTCGGACCTACTTGGGTAGTAGAAATTTTCTAAAACATCAAAAAATCTTGACTTTCTACGATAACAAACCGAGCCGTAAATTTAAAACATTTTTACATGATATTATGAATATAATGTTATACGCATAAGTTATGCGTATAACAGACATAAGTTTCAATGAAAAAAAAAAAAACTTATTACACTCAAGTGCCATTTTTAGACATTAAAAAAAAATGTAATAAGCATCAATATACGTATCTATAGTCATATCTATTTTTTATAAATACATATTTTTTTCTAGCTCCGTTAATACATGATAAATTAATTAAATAATGAACACAAAATATTGTCTTTTCTGTTTAGATTAAAAAAGATAAACATTTGTGTAAAAATTATATTAGGGTTGGCTAAAACAATTTTTTTTTTTTGATATTTTAATTTTTAAATAGTTAATTGGCCTGGGAAGGACCACAAATATTTTTTATATAATTGTTTTTACTACTTTATATAGTATGAACGAAACGGGAAAAGGTGATAGAAAAGAAAAATCAATTTGGGTTCATGCCATGGAAATCAACTATGGCACCAATATTTTTTATGAGGCAAATTGTGGAAAATGTTGAGATGGATGAGTGGAGTGACTAGGGAAGATAGAATAGGAAATTAATACAAAAAGGGGAGTCTAGGAGTTCAGAGTTGCATGAATTGTGGAAAAAATGAGAGAGAATAGGTTTGAGATGGTTCGGTGTATTTGTTTTAATTTATATAATTTATTCTATTGAGTAAATGTCATCTTCGGTTTCTTTTCGGCCTAAAAGCCCTAACCTACTCAGAATGATCGGATTACAATTTTCTGTAAAGACATTCTGGTTCTTTTAAACTACTCCTCTACTGGACTGAGTAGGAAACCGATTTTCATTGAGAAAAAAAAATGCAGTTTCTTGTGATCGAGCAAATCTGTTTGAAAATTGTTCATGACATTAATACAGAACCAAAATCGGACCATCGTAAGTAGTCTACATTTAACATTTTGTCTGGGTTTTTGGTTTAAAAAGTCAAACGGGCCGCGCGCAATCCCCACACACACACGTTGTCGTTATCATAACAATATAATCAAATAAGAGAGCAATAACCAGAAGGGAAACCTAGTCGGCACCGATAAGCGTCCGACATTCATTTTGTTTCAAAGTTTCCCTTCTGGTTATTCCGTGTTCACACCGCCCGTTATCATTGTCACTGTTATCAGTACGGCTCGTCCGAGCGCCACCGGAGTGCGTATCGGTTCTCTCTCCGGGATCGCCTTGAATCATCATAATACTATTAGCCCAACGGCCAATAGCTGTTCACCAATCGTTCTTTTATTATTTTTTACATTAATAAAATTTCATTGTTGTTATCTTTCATTCGGCCGCCCCCGCCCATCGGCAACCGCTCGTCTTATCTTTCCGCACGGCGTTTGAAGAAAATATCTGAAATAAAATATGTACTATACTCGTGTGGTGGCCGAAACGCGACACTGTCCCCGCGTTCGTCAATAACATAACTCACGTCAATCGTTTAAACGAAAACAAAAACAACCGCAATAATATCTATATTATATTTTAAAAATTACATGAAATCTCACAACGGCAACAATATTAAATGAACAACCGAAAACATGGGCACCGCGACAGCCCGTTTGACCGTTCGTCGGTTGTCGTCGGCTAATGGCCTTTGTTGTTGTTGTCGCCGCCGTCGTCGTACCGCCGAAAAGACCTCGCCTTGATAATAATAATAATAATATTAAAATTAAAATACAATAGTCGAGTTTTCGCACGTTATTTTCCGCGAGCTTTGTCGTTTTGTGCGTTCGCCTTCTGGCCGGAGAAAACCGCCAAGGAAAAGATGAAAAAAAAGGTAAACCTACCATTAACATTAGTAAAATGGAATGAAAAAGAAACTGTGACGATTTGAATTTATTTTAAAAAAGTCATCGGTGTTTTTTTATTCCTTTTTACGCTCCTTTGTTGTAAGCGGCGTACGCTTTCCGTGATAACGTCGACAATAGTGTTTTATAACATCGTTCGGCTGTACACTATCGGATCATATTTTTTTTCGTTTCAGGTGCTGTTGATGGGCAAAAGCGGTTCGGGCAAGACCAGCATGCGGTCGATAATTTTCGCCAACTACATTGCCAAAGACACTCGACGACTGGGAGCGACGAGTAAATTGAAAAATATAGTACCTACTGCGATTTGGGTCGTTGCACGTGAAATCGATCCGCTCAATAGTTCATTAACGGTTTAGCACATTAGTTACACTATAAATTACATTACGTTTGCGCGATGTCGGCTCTGTAAGTACATTTTCGCAAGCATTATCCGTAACACTGTACTCGGTTTTAAGTATAAACCGATAAGGTATAACGCGTTAAACAAATAATCTTTGATTGATCTACCGCAATCGGTTAATTGGTATTCTTTATAAAACGTCTCTTTTTCCACATTTGACAATCGAGAATCACTTTTTAAAAAAAAAAAATACTCATAATATGTCGTCATTAATTTTCGGTCATCAATCAAGATGTATCCCACTGTAAAAAACGTCAATCCATCGATTACTACGCCAAGTGCGAAATATACACAAATAATATTTGATTTCACACAGAATGGCCCAATCGCAAGGTTTATTCAAGCCAAACACAAATTATTATTTATTAATCTTAATAATTATGTCCACAGTCGACGTCGAACATTCTCACGTTAGATTTCTAGGCAACCTCGTTCTCAATCTCTGGGATTGCGGAGGGTAAGCGATACGTAACCATTACTAGGATGGTTAAGATTCGGTTTAAGAGATTACAATTTATTTTTAACACATTGGTTTTTGCAATTTAGACAAGAAGCATTCATGGAGAACTACTTTGTCAGCCAACGCGAGAACATCTTTCGCAACGTAGAAGTGTTGATTTACGTGTTTGACGTAGAAAGTCGTGATGACGAGCTGAAAAGAGATTTAAAGTATTACCAATCGTGTCTGACGGCCATTTACGAAAATTCACCGAGCGCCAAGGTGTTTTGTCTAATACACAAAATGGATTTGTTGCAAGAGGATCAAAGGGATAAGGTGAACAAATCATACGACATTGCTGTCGACTGTTTTGTCACAATACGGTTTAACTAAAACATTGACTTGATTACTTTTTTCTGTTTACAGATATTTTCCGAACGTGAAAACGAAATAATAAACATGTCCAAGCCAGTGAACTGTACTTGTTTCAAAACGTCCATTTGGGACGAAACGTTATATCGGGTAATTATACCAGTGGCATAGTAGTGTACAAGGGTATAATATGCTGTGTGTACTTCCAAAATTGTGTGGAAGGAATGGCAATTTGTAGAAGTTCAAAAAAAGAAAACATAAAATATTGACAAAAACAATGACATAACAAATGCATTTCTCGTTTAAAGTTTGCTCATTTTTTTTTTTTATTTGCAACATCAATCCAATTTACGCTAGAAATGTTTTTAATTTAGCATCTCATTGTTTTGAAAAAAATCTGCCGCTTATTCTTCGAGAAGTTTAAGTTAAATTGTGTAATTAATCGCACTAATTGACGTTTCCAGTGGATAACTTGAATAGTCGATGACAGATCGTTCACATCAAATTGTTTTTTTTTTTCAAGTGACAAATGTTAAAAATTAAAAGTTTTGCACGTTTTTGTTTTTTAATTTATTACTAACCGATTATTTTTCTTTCAGGCGTGGTCTTCGATCGTGTACAAACTCATACCCAACGTCAAAGAGCTAGAACAAAGTTTGAAAATGTTTGCCGACCTTATGGACGGAGACGAAGTGTTATTGTTCGAACGGGCGACATTCCTCGTTATATCGCACTGTCAAAGAAACTTGCACCACGACATACATCGCTTCGAAAAAGTGTCCAACATCATCAAACAGTTCAAACTCAGCTGCAGGTCGGTGTAGCGCTTTAAAAGTGTTTGTCGTTATGGTGTTTAAAAAAAAAAAAAAAAAAAATGTTTCAACCTCACCCTAAAGTATTTAAAACGCTCGTTGTGTATTTGTATGTGCACGCAGTAAGGTGGCCGCCCAGTTCCAAAGCATGGAGGTGAGAAATTCCAACTTTGCTGCGTTCATCGACATTTTCACCACCAACACGTATATCATGGTCATCATGTCGGATCCACACATTCGTAAGTACTCGATTGTTTTTTGGAACGATATTTCATACGTTAAGTTGCATTTTGACAATATTTGTTTGGATTTAATGTATATAAAAAAAAAAAATTCATTTTTATATAATATAATATGTATGTGTTTTCAATAATAGTAATATTATGTTCGTTAATTTTTCTTCGACATCTTTTTCTCAAATTAACAAAAAAACTGTAAAGCAAATACAGATAAAAACGGGGTTCGGTGACGTAATAATATATCGGCAGATTAAAAACTTGTTTTTGATAAAAAAAATTATTCGTGACCGTGTGTTTGGTTCAAATCACTTCAATCAATATACATGTTATATTTCCTAACGATAAAAAAATTACCAAAAAAAGTTATAACTATCATCAGTTTAGAAAACACTTGTAAACATATTTTGTAAAAAAACATTTAAAAAAAGTGTTGTAAATAATACATAAATTATGAATATTAGATTTTATTATGATTACACATAAATCATAAAGAACTAACAAATGTACAACTTTCATTAAATACTTAACTCATCATTTGATGTGTGAAAAACATAATTCTAACTATCTTGGAACTTATGAATCCGTTCTCAAACCGTTTGATTGTTGTCGGTTAGTTTAGATGTGAAGACCCATTTTTTTACCTCTTGAGTGTGTAGGTCCCATTTTAATTATTGATTATATTTTTAAAATTATCAAATTTATTTCAGATTTTACACATACACTCTTTTAAACATTAAAGTTGAAAAAATTCATCAGTCCTTCCGAAATTCAAAACATGAACACCTTAAGAATAATAATTGTGTCCAAGTTTAGATTACAAAGCGACAATACCTTTACGACAAATAGTTATTAATTATTTTTATACTATATAATATAGCTTTGACGTCTAAAACCATTTTTTTTTTTTTAACTTTTCTGGTGTAAGGTAAAATTTGTTTGGAAACTGTTTTCTCTCATTTAGGCATGATATGGGAAGGGGGAGGAAGGCAAGGACACTCAATATACATTGAAGACACATGAAATTGTGTTACCCTTAAGACTACGTAAATTATATTTATATATATGTGTATTTTGAGTATCGTATTGAAGTTGTGATTGTCTTTTTTTCTTTCTTTTTAGCCTCGGCAGCGACTTTAATCAACATCAAAAACGCCCGTAAACATTTTGAAAAATTGGAACGCAAAAGCCAAGCACACCAGAACAACAGCAGATAAAACTAATTAAGTGAACCCAACCAATGGTATAATGTAAACTAACGGTATATTATATTATAAATTGTGGGTTCACTGTTCCGTCGTGTATGATTAATGTTTACATTTGTATCGACAATCGTTGTTTTGATTTATATTATCGTTTACAATTTATTAAATTATTATTATACTATTATAAGCAACCGCTTGAGATACTAGCTTGTCTACTAGCTCACCGTACAATTATACTTACATTTACGTTCACACTTTTCCCTTCAATTTTCTATAGTGTCGAGAGTAGTCGTCGGCTGCTGCGTCTCGTAACTTACTCCTCGAGCTTGCCACATTCGCCTTGCTGCACAGTTATGATAGATTTTGTTTGTATAACATCATAATAATGTTCCTTTATGCAACACAATATTATGTAAGCTAAATGTTTATTTTCACAGTTACTATACGATTGCCATTCATCCGATAAAAAAATTTACCAAGATCCTCTTTCTCCTCACCCCGTAAAATTATCACTTATAACCCTAATAATGTGACGTTATAATATATATGTATTTTTTTAATGTATCTTTGTTAATATGTATGTTAAATTATTATTATTATTATTATTATCAACTCGTCGATTGTAACAATTATTAAGAAAATAAATGGAGATGTTATATTTTTTTTTTTTTTTTAGAAATCAAAATTTGTTTTGAATGTTTTAATAAGACGAGTACTCGAATTTGTTAATCACTAATTTGTTTGTTATTAGATATAGTAATCCCATCGAAAACTGTGCTGAAATATTTAAATAAAATAATACACAAGGTTAATCTAACCTATGGTTAGTCTATGTCGATTATAACATTGTTAATTTTATTGAGATTTTACAATTTTAAATACTTTAAGCGAGAATAATAAATAGACAAGCCGGCATTTTGGCCTATCTCCCAAGCTAATTTATCATTTGAAGTATCACAAAAATAATGTCTACCGTATAGATGCTGATAAAAAATTTAATCTGTCACATCGGGTACTCTCTCAAAGAAAACAACTCTAATTATAATAACTTAATCTCAAACGAAAAATATTAGCTTGGGGATAGGCTAAAAATATATTTTTTTAACTTACTTTTATACTTAAAAAAAATAAATAGATGAGGTAAGAGCAAAACTTTTTAAACAAAATTGTTTAGACTACTCTCTTTTATATAAAAAAGGTTATTTTTGTTTAGTTTTTCATACTACGACTTGCCCTTTCAGACGATAGTAGCCTATCCAAATAAGAAATCCATAAAATTACAGATCTCCAGCTCTACAATTAAGTACATCCTTATTCATTTTTTTTTTTTGCATTTAATTAACATGGTTTAACAAGTTTTTATTTTACATTAAACAAATTCTAACTTTATTTTATTATTTAGATTTAACGCCACGAAAGCCCAAGTACGTACATTACTAATAAAATACAGTTGTATTATTCAAATACAATTACTTAGGATTAAGTTTCAGTTTAATTTTAAACAATATCAGATTAATATTATAATAATACAATAACTCACTATAATATATTGAATACTTGATATCTAATCAACATTTTTCAATTTGAAAGCTCAAAGCTAAACTATGACACTTGAAAGTACTTAATTTATTTAAAAAAATAAACGAACAGACAGGAATTTAGACGTATAATAACACACAGTAATAAGGATACATTTTTTTATTCTCAACTTTTAAAACGCACACTGGTCGTATTGGTTTTATAAAAAAAACATATCCGTACCCAAGAGCAAAAGTGCATCAAGTCACAAAATGTAAACAAATGTATTAATAAATAAATAATTATTAAACAATAATTCATCATCATGGTCATTAGCTTAACGTACCTTAAAGGCCCAGCGCTGTCATAATGCGATGATTGTTTCTGAATGGTTTCCCCGGTACGGTGTCCGGAATGGATCGTATGATTAACTAATTAAATCGATGGACTTAAATAGAGCGCAAAATTTAAATATAGGTTAAAAAAAAAACCGGAAAATTGAAATTTTTGACTGAATACATTTTTGCTCCGAGGTACGTTGCTAAAAATATTCTCATTTTAACTTCGAAACAGCATCTATATTGTTCAAATAAATTACAAGGTGTCTTCTATGTGAAAAAAAGTGTTTTTTTTTATATATCATTTAAATCGAGAGTAAATTAAATATTGTTTTAATTTTTTTACAAAATGTTACTTTTGTTTTTTTCATTTACAAAATTGAATTGGCTTGGAATCGGAGTTGAAGGAATATCCGTTTAACGTTAGTCTAAAATACTGTTTAAAATATCACACAATTGTTTTTAACGAGTTTGTCAAATCTCAAGTTTTTTTTTGGTTCTTGTTATTTTACGGCAACGTAGTGAAAAAAAAAAAAAAACAATAGTAACATATTACAATCGTTATAATATGGTTTATTCAATGATAATAATATTTGTTTCCACAAATGAAAGAAATATATTTTATCGATTGTCGTTATAAGTAAAATAGAAAATTATTGTTCAACATAATTTATATCCATTTGGTAGTCAAGAATCTAGTATAAAAAAACAGTAATAATAATTTTAAAGCGGCACAATCGAATCATAAAAAACGACAAACAAGTATACTTAATCAATTGGCGAAAGAATAACAGTTTCAATTTAAAAGAATAAATATCTACGAAAAACAAATCCTGGGAAAAATAAAAAATAAAATCAACCAGTTTTTCGGTCAAAGTTTGTTTTTCTATTTTCAATTGGCTAGAAAGTGTGCATCGCGTGCATGAGGTCCAACGTCAACGTCAAATCAGGAAACCATCCTGTCGATTATGTTGGGATTTAACCACGTGTCAGATATGGGAACGCCGTTGTACTTGTAATTTTTGAAACCCGTAACGTGGTGTTTACCTAAGTACCAGTCCACGCGGCAACTGTCTTTGTACGCGTCGTCGTCGACGATATGCCGCGGACCTAGTTTGTCGTCGGCCATGTCTACTATTAGCGGAATTTCGTCTACTAAACAGTCTTTGCTACACCGCAGTCGACAGTTCTCCTTGGAATTCGAGTCGGACACGATGGACAACGCGTCAAACCGTAACATCACTTGTTTGCCTCGTAAACATCGAAATTGCTCTTTAGGTACACACCAATCGGACACCATCGTTTCGCCCTTTTTCACTTTGAACATGACGTACAAGTTGGTTTCGACCATTATGTTCGACGTCAGTATTTCGTTGAACTTGTCGTTGTTCAATATGCTCCTGAAGACATTGTCGATGTGTTGCCTCGAAGAATGTTGCTTGTCGCTGTGCGAGTAACTCAATTCCGGCACGTGGATATTGAAGACGGTCAGCGGATTTAGAACGTTGGATCCGATTAGAATCACTACCGTTTCAATGTGATTCGTCATGCGACTGAGAAATTCATTTTCAATACACTAAAAAAACCAATCAAATCACAAATACATCAATGAAGCCTTTTGCAATTTTACAGCTATTTAATAAAACAACAATAACAATTTACCTTAAACACAGTCTCCAACGCATTTATAGTGTCCGACACTTTTTTATAATACTTGTCGGATTCTAGTTTATATTTTTTCTTTATGTTACAATGACTGTTTCCCTGAAAAAGCATATCAACCGAAATTAAAACAATTTAGTGATTTTATTTTTTAGGCTAAAAGTTAGCACTCGACGTTCGGCGGATTCGACAAGTCGTAGCCACATTAAAGCATTGGCAATCAACGACGCGTTAGGTAAGCAAAATCGTTTAACGTATGGCCGCAGATTTCCGAAGTTTTATTGTGGCAAAAATAAAAGGTCGTTCGGGTACAGTAAATAATGTGTTCTCGAACAAAACAAACTCACCTCTAACTGTAGCTCGTTATACTTTTTGATGTACAACTTCAAACGGTCGTACGGATAAGGTATGAGCTGTTTCTCGTAAACCAGATACTTCATTAAGGTTGTCAGTAACGTGGAAAACGACCGAGGCGTCATTATGTCGGACAAATGGACACATACGTCGCAAGTAGCCATGGGATTTGTTTTCTGAAAAAAAAAAACAGATTAACATTGAGCTAAGCTGAATAACAAAAATCTGAATAACTAAACACATAAAACATTAACTATTAAAGGAACATCAAGTAAAATAATTCATCATTGGATACATTGGTTAAATGATAAAGTTTTTAATCATTTAACAAACATTCTAAAATTGTTTTTGCTAGTGCTCCTTACTAGCTTGTTCCTAACCTAACCATGGTCCCCATTGGATCAATAACGACTGGACGCAATATTATACATGTTTGATGAACAAGTTACTAATTCAATAAACTATGATGAAGTAATTGAAGTATTAAAAGTCTTAACAGAATAAGAACGAAGGTTAATACTTAAAACAATTATATTAGTCCACGCAACTATATTGTTGTTTATCAGTTTATTTACATTAAACATTTTAACGTAATGCAGGTAAATTATCTAAAATATATTTTCATTTCCTTATGTTGTTCTTATTTTTGTTGTGTACATTTTTTTTTGGTTTACGTGTTGGGATGGGTGGTAAAAAAAAAATTGTAGCCATATTTGCTGCTACAGAAGTCTGCAAACGCCTATGACGATGAAGCGTAGTTTGTCGATAGGTTAATCGATTTCGAATGTCAACAGATAGACAAACCGATAATGTAGAATTCAATTAAGCAAAATCGTTGTTCAATATGTTTTACTCGAACGCTCGACGACGACCGTCGACTGTTGTTATCGGACCGAGATTTAACGATACAATTTGATCGTTTTGGATCTTTTGGCCCCCCTATGGGGGGGGGGAGGGGCATACTTTTTCGAAGACGAGTTCAAGTAGGTATAGAAAAAAAAAAATCACTCCAACTTAACTAACTGACTCGACTTACCTCGTGTATGCAAAGTCGACGGTCTGCGAACCGTAATCGAGTACACAAAATAGAAAAACACTATCGGCCAAAGTGTGTCGAACAACGTCGATGTAATTATTATAGTAGTACGGTTCGGGCAAAAAGGCAAAACGAATAGTCGTGCAAAAACACTCGGAATTTATTTTTCAAACACTTATCAAATTAAACGTACAAGACAATAGCTGTGCTGATGAGAGCAGCTGCTGCCACCGCTGCTGCTGATAGCAGCTACGGACGGCAGTGGTGTTCAAAATAACGCAATATCAAAATCAGTATAATATTATTATTGTACAAATTAAAAACTATCGAATATTTAATATATGATAATGTATTATTATATTATTTGTATACGTTTCCCGGCGAGGCGCGATTATATTAAAACTGCATTTTATGTAATATATATTTTTGATTTCTTTTAACATTGTTTTGGACACCACTGACAAGCACTGTAGCTGCAGCGGCGTAGGTTACACCTCGAAACCTATGATACCTATGGAAAGGGCTCTGATTGGCCTATATTTTTATGGCGGTAATTTCAAATCTATACAATCAATAAACAATAAAATGATTTAAAAAAATTAAAACACACATTAATTTTTTTATATATATTATATTATATTATTCACTGTGGTTTGTATTTATATTTGTAGATATTATATATTTATATATATAGCTGGGACGTGAATTGATTTTGCTTGCCTATTGATATTGAAAGCATAGTTGTAAAAATATATTTTTTTCTTTTTTATTTATACTGTTAAATTCTAAAGGAATTTCGCGAGTTCATAATAATATTGAAAGTTGAATATAAACAGATATTAGGCTACAGCAAAACAAGGTGGCTAGCGTTAATGGCAGCTATTGAGAGAATTTTTCAAATGTATCCAGATTTAAAGTCAAGCAAAATGTCCAGTTTTATTAAAACATGTTATTATTAATCTATCTTCTGAAGCATGGTTTCATTTTATTCGTTCATCTCAATCATACATATTTCACCAAACAGTTTAAAAAATAGAAGGAACTAAAATTTCTATAGCAGACATTTTCCAGGAATTAAATGAACTGAAAAATAATTTGTAACAGAAATGTGAACATGTTTTTATTCCTATGTCAGTAAAGACATGATTAAAAAATACAGAGTTAAACCAAGCTTCGTTTGAGAAATCTATAAAAGAATTTTATCATACATGTAATCAGTAATGAATATTTAGATTTATGGACTGTGCAATTTGAAGAACTTGAATTTATGACATGGGTAACATTAAAAGAAGTCCCAACTTCGTCTCAAATTGAAGAAACTGTAGAATTTGCAATTAAAAAAGGTTTTTTCTCACCTTCATTGGAAGCATCCAAACTCCTAACTTAGAAAAGTTTTTTGATTAATTCACACTTCTATTTTAAATTTTGTATCTGATAATACAATGATAACAACGAAAAAGTTGATTTCAATTAGTTGGGTAGAAGTATTTTTACATTTTAAAGAAAATCAAATTCCTCGTGATTTAATGTCAAATTGAACACAGTAGGTATGTTTTATGCCTACCTGAATCTAATGCATCAACTGAGAGAGTATTTTTCCAAATTAATAAAATATGGACAAAAGAAAAATCACAGTTGAAAATAGAAACTCTAAAAGCTATTTTGGATACCAAAACATATTATGTAGGTATGAATTGTTCAGAATTTTATAGTTTTTAAAAAAAAATATCCTTTATTGCTCAAATCTATTGCAACAAATAATAAATACTAAATATTAATAATTTTTTTTCATCTGTATTAAATATTTTATGTATTTTTATTAAGTACTTTCTAATTAGGAAAAGTAATTTCTAATTTCACAAACTTCAAAAATAAAACTGAACAGTTTCCAAAGCATAAATAATACCTTTGGGTTGCTGCTGAAGAAACAAATCCAATAGATTGGTGGGCAATATATTGTTGTGATACTGAGCTTTCTAAAATTGCTGTTAACATTATATCCATACCGGCAACTTCAGCAGCAGTTGAACACACATTTAGTACCTATAAAGATGTCCACAGTACACAAATAAATATACTTTTAAATGAAAGAGCAAGCAAACTGGTGTTTATAAAACATAATTTACATGTATACATTATGATATTTTAATAATTTTCTGTTAACTATATAAAATAGTTTTTTGTGTTTTTTTAGATATATGATTGTATTATCAAACTGGGATTTAAACCAGACACTAGTAATCCCAATGAATAGTGAAAATAAAGTTAGTTGTACAGAAAGTAGTAACAATGAAGTAGGTACATGATATAGTTTCAGAAAATGAAAATACAGATGATGCTAGTGATGATTTGTTTTCTGAAGTGCCTTTTAGACTTTAATTTCCATACTTTCAATGATGTCCCAATAAGAAATATATACTTTATTAAGACTTAAATTATTTATGATTTGACATTTAAGATTGTACTTGTTTAACTATTGCAAAGGAGTTGATTTTTATTTGAGTTATGTTACATTGTTATCTTTAAGTAACATATTATATGGACATATGGTTATATTCTGTTAATTGTTGTTTGTTATAAATTAGTTTTATAATACAAAAAGTATACTATAATAAATAAAAAAGAAAGTATTTTATTTTTCACTCAAATAATATAAAAATTATGTATGTATAAGTTTTATGAAAATTGTTCATAAGTTTCCAGAGAGCTGAAGTGTAAAATAAGTGCACACATTTAGAGGTATACATATATTAATTTTTAATAAAAGAAAATTAAAATATATTTTTGTCTTGATGTTTATTGTGTACATCAATACATAATAAAAATGATACTTTTGAATAAAAAAATAAACTACCCAGTTTAACAACTTATAAAGTGAGTGGTTCATTTCCAAAAAATGCACAACAATTTATGTTTAAAGTATTTGCTGATGACATTTGTTAAGTATAGTAACACTATATTATGCTATACAGATTGCAGACATACTACTTTATACTTAATATTCATACAATTTATACAATCAGATTTAGTGACTGATTTTTCAGGTGCTAAATTATGTTGTTTTTAAGTTTTCTAGCTAAGAAAAAAAAATGTAATGAAACATACAAAGATATATGATTATCTACTAAGTTAGTTATAAATGTATAAACATTATACAAAACTTAATAAAATCTGTATGATATAATTTATCCTATCACTCTTAGTCTCCTATTTATAATACATCTACTTATTTGTTTTACTTTATGGACATTATTTTAATACATTCTAAACAATTTCAAATTAGAAATGTGTGTACACTACTATGTTTTAATTTGTTACACTGATGTAGCAAACAAAATGACAACTCTGTCCAACTCTGTCCCGCATAAATACCTTTATAAATATGCTTAGTTCCTCAGCCAACGTAACAAGATATAACAATACAAAAAACAAGTATTTTGTATCTTTTTCAATTATTTTTATATAATATAATCCACCTTATATAGATGGGTTGGCTTTTTTCGCAGGATAGACAATGACGAAGTAATCTTAATATGAACATTGACCATCATAAATTTGAAAAACTTACATACCATTAATTAGTCAGTGACATAACACTGATGAAAACCATTAATATAACCTAACGTATTAGCGCGAATTACACAAAAAATACCATATAGTGACCAATGTGCATGTATCAAATGATAACACCGTGCTTTGATAACTTTGAGTACTGTATCAAGTCAATAAAAGTTCTCGCTTATCACACGGAGCAATATCAAAATGGGTCGATAATGCCAACCGATAATTATTGGTTTTTTGTTTTACATCTGGTTGCCCGAAATCGACTTAAAAAAAAAAAAAAAAAAAAAAGCGATTATGAAGTATGCAAGCATGTATGTATGTATGTATGTAAGTACGTATGGATGGCGTGTACGTTAAAAGACATTGCTTTTAGAATTGATCGATATCGAGATAGTTTTTCGTGTACAGTTTATCATACTACAAATTGACCTGACCGATTAAAAACGGAAAAAAACAACGGACGCGGCCGCTGCGCTGTGCGTTAAACGGCACACGCGAGATATAGATAACAGGACAAAAACAAAAAAACAAACGAGCGGAACGAACGACCCACGTCGTTGTATTCATTTGTATTTCATTGTAAATTTGTATTCAAATTCAAATACTTGTGTACTATAGTCGTATATGATAAACTGTACACGAAAAACCGTCTCGATGTCGATCAATTCTAAAAGCGATATCTGTTGACGTACACATCATCCATACATACATACATACATGCATGCATACGTACTCACATACAAACGTACTTCATAATCGCTTTTTTTATATTGTACCTATCTGTAAATTGTTCAATAAAACCCCAAATATGCACTCGAAATTTATTTTCTACTTATTTTTAAATATAACTTGTATTTTTTTAAATATCATGTTCATACTAGTTGTAACCGCAAAACCTAAATAAAAATAGTTGTTTATAAAAAATAAATTTAACACTTTTAAATAAACAAAATTTTTAAATATGACGCAATTATCGAAAATAATAAAACATTTGAGTACCCACCTGCCTAAGAATAAAAAAATCCCAAAATATAAAAGAAGTAACTCAAAAGTTAATAAACACACACACAATTACAATATTCGTAAAAACAATAATGCGCGCGACAATACCCTCCTCGTAATAAAACGGTCGATTACGGGAGAGTGCCCCCGACAAAGTAATTTGGGCGGCCTTAAATAATAAACACTATTGACATTTTTACTGTGTAGAAAATTTTGTATAGTTTGTTTGGCCTACGTTTAATTGCTTATTTGCTAAAATACGTTGGTCTTTAAGAACTATACTGCAGTCAGATCTATTTTTCAGACCATTCGTTACAAGTCCCGGGCCCTAATAATATAATATATTCAAATGCAATAATATTATACTCTGCCAGTAAACTGTGTCGTTATGCAATTAACTCGAGTGAGCAGATCACTGTTGTATTTTATTTTAGTTAATAAAACTGTTATATACATATATAGCTAATTTAAGTGTTATATATAGCTAATATTGTTTTTTTCTAATTTGTGTAGTGAATTTATATTTTTAGTAATGTAATGTGAAAAAATTCGCTGAATGTACAAATAAAATACACGTCGTAGTACTAACCGACGACAAACGTAATATAATGATACAAAAGACGATAACACACACGGCGG